GTTAGATATCATCACCATAGTTTAATTAAAAGAATGTTAATGCTTTATATGATCACATACAATCTCACTGACTGCCTTTTGGGGTATATTTTCCCCAGTTAGTGGATAGGGAAATTGAGATTCAAAAGGGTTGGGCAACTTACTACAGGTCATCCAGCTAATCAGTGATCAATCTGGAGGCACTGAAGGATAAATAACTGGATTGGGCTTATCATAGTGGTGGCTACAAAAAAGGCTACAGCTGTGTTTAAAAGTTTATAGGCAAGCCATCCATTTTCAGTTGACTTTTTCAGGAAATGATTCAGTTTGAAAAGGAGCAAGAATCCTGCAAGACAGGGCTTTGAGAGAATTTAGATCTGTAGATTCTGACCTTTAGATGGATTACATCAAAGCAGAATTGAACTGCCCCCTTGGTAGACTTGAGAAATGCAGACAGATGCATTGGCGAGCCATGAAAATGTTGCAAGGAGAGTCAGCAGAGGCGTTTGTAGCTAAATATGCTATGTATCAGAATGGTCATTTGTGAAGAGGAAGAATACAGTCAACTTTGTGAAACAGTATTCCAAGCCCTCTGGGCAAATTTGTATTATGAGTCAATCTGTAATTTGATTGGAGATGGCAGACAAAATGGACGTCTGGTTTCAAGATATGGTTTAATTTTGTGTTAACTCATTAATTAAAATTTTTTTTTTAATTTTGAGAAAAAAAAACTGGGGGCAGAATTCAAACTTCAAGGATTCCATTGTTCTATTAACCATGTTACTTCCACAACTGGCAAAGTTTAGCTCACAGTAAGAGTCACACTTTAAATCTCTATGAGAGATCAAAAAACCCTTAGATAATACAGGTGTCTGGTAGCAAAGATAATCATTAACATTGTAGGCTACCCACTAAAGTGAAAAAGATATACTTCATTCAATTGTTTATTCATTCAAACAACAAATAATCAAACGCCTGCATGTGTGCCAGGCATTGTGCTAGGCTCTATTATAGCCAGCTGTATGAGTTATCTATTGTTGCATAACTCACAAAACTTGGTGGCTTAAAACAACAATCATTTAAACATTTAGTATCTCACAGTTTCTGTGGACTAGGAATTCAGGAGCACTGTAGCTGAATGGTTCTGGCTCAGGGTCTCTTTCTAGTTTACAGTCAAGATGTTGACCATGATGCACGCAATTATCTGAAGGCTTGACTGGGGTGTGAGGATCTCCTTCCAATCTCACTCACACGGCTGTTATCAGAAGGCCTCAACACCTCACTGGTTGTTGGCTAGAATCCTTAATTACTCACCATGTAAGCCTCTTTGTAAGCTGCCTGAGTGACCTTATGATTCTGACACAACAGCTACCTGGCCCCAACAAGTAATCCCAGAGAAAGAATAAAAAGGCTGGCATGTTTTATGATTTCCCCTCAGAAGTCACACTACATCATTTCCAATACATTCTATTCATGAGAACAAGTCACTTAATACACTTCAAACTCAAGGTGAGGGGAATGAAGTTTCACCCTTTGAAGGAAGAAATATCAAATAATTTGTGAACATATTTTAATACTACTGAGTTAATAAAATTTAATTTGGCTGGGCGTGGTAGCTCACGCCTGTAATCCCAGTACTTTGGGAAGCCGAGGCAGGTGGATCACGAGGTAAGGAGTTTGAGATCAGCCTGGCCAAGATGGTGAAACCCTGTCTCTACTAAAAATACAAAAAATTAGCTGAGCACGGTGGTGGGCACCTATAATCTTAGCTACTTGGGAGGCTGAGGCAGGAGAATCGCTTGAACCCAGGACATGGAGGTTACAGTGAGCAGAGATCATGCCACTGCACTCCAGCCTGGGTGACAGAGCAAGACCCCAACTCAAAAGAAAAAAAAATTTAATTTACGAAATTTAATTATTATAAAGTGGTGTTAATATATTTGTAAAATGTATTTTTTTAAAAAACTAAATCTATTAGAGAAGACAATGTTTTAATGTTGTTGCTAGCTTGTTTGCATTTTGTCACCATTTTCATCTCATTCTATTAAAAAATTCTATATATAGTGCTAAATAAATGATGACTTGACCTATCTTATGTCAACTAAGAATTGCATTTGATGCTTATAACAGACAACCCAAATAACAAATCTTATATAGAAGGGATATGTTCTTCCTCACCTAACAACGAATCCAGAAGTGGACAGTTCGGAGCTAGTAAGCTGGCAAAGCAACTATGAATCTAGGCACGTCTGGCATCCTACATTACTAATAGTGTCTGTGTGGCTTTTATTTTTATGGGTGAGATATGGCTGCTCTATCTCCAGTATCATGTCCCTGTTTCAGGTTCAGAAAAAAGGGATGGGTGCAGATGAAATGACTCAAGTGATATTTCTTCCATAAAGCTTTCCTTGAGGCTCCTGTAGAGAAATTCACTTTTATTTAACTGATGGTCACATGACCAACCATGACTTAAGTCTAGGGGCATGAATATTTTTAACTAGACACATTGTCACCCTGAAGAAATCAGAGTTCTACTAGTAAAGAAGAAAGGATACTGGTTTAGACAACTAGTAATGTCTACTGACCTACTCCAAGGAGCTCTGACATGCATTATTAAACACAGACATCAGATAAACAATAATACTGAGGTTTATCTGTGTTTCAAATATGTTTCAAATGAGATAATCTGGTCAGTTTTGAGTCCTACATATAAAGTACATTTTCCAAAGAAACCACTTTTATTCTCCAGTTGAAAATGCTGAAGAATTGGCTGACATTAATGCCACTTCTAGGAATGTATCCAAGGAGATAACTGCACAATTGTGCAAAAGTCTGTGGATAACAATGTTCATCAGAGACTTTTTTTATGATAGTAAAAACTTGGAAACATAAATGTCAATCAATAGAATATTGGTTGGATAAATGATGATACATCCACTTAACAGACACTGCAACTCTTAAAATGATGTTATTCATGACATATTGTTCACTGTGCAGATAAGATCCAATTGATGAAATATTGTATTTCTATGTCTATATGTGTTTTTATTCTGAGAGAGAAGCCTAGAAGAATGTAACACACAATTTAAGAAATGGTTATCTCTAGATTATGGGATTTGGACAAATTATAACATCTTTGCATTTTTGTTTAAAATTTTTGAAATTGTTTGCATAAGCATGTATTGATTTTATAAAACAATAGTTATTAGCTGGGTGCCACAGCCTGTGCCTATAATCCCAACCACTGGGGAGGCTACGGCAGGAACACTGCTTCAGCCTTCAGCCCAGTTGTTCAAGGCTGTTGTGTGCCATGATCATACCTGTGAATAGCCAATGCACTCCAACCTGGGCAACACAGAAATACCCTATCTCTTTAAACAAACAAACAAACAAAAACTATTTTCAAATAAAGGCAGGGAGGGGACGGGGCTGATTTGTTCCACTATTGTTTCTAGCAAGTAATTTTCCTGGGTAGGGCTGTGGCTGAACTTATCTTTGGAAAGGTTTCTTATCTTTGCTCCCTGTATTCTTTACTCCTTATAGCTTTTAATAAAATTAAAACGAGATAAGGAGTTGTGAGTTTTGGTTTCTACTTGGAACACTGACCTCAGGAAGAGTCTCCTATCCCTGTTTTACAATGGGTGGAAAGGTATGGTGGCAAGGGGGGAGGGTATGGTGGCAAGGGGAAGGGTATGGTGGCAAGGCGGCCTGATATGGTGGGAAGGTGGGGGGAGAGAGTGATCAACAACTATATACAACTTGGGGAGCCACAGAGGATGGAGGTAAGGATGTAAGGGACAGAAGTCTGGACCCATGAACCAGGGAAAGAGCAATAACCTGGACATCAGGATAGTTGCACTTCTAACATGGACCTATCAGTTTATTATCTTTCTGGTCTCAGTTTTCTGATGTGAAAAAATGAAATAACTGTATTAAAATCACTACATGTGCTTTATGTTTCACAATTCTTTTGGATATATTGATGCTATGTCCTGAGAAACCACACTACAGCTGAACCTAGGCAAATTAAAGGAAAAATAACAATAACGTATGTTGTTTATTATTTCTCTCAGGCATTCTAAGCAACTTGCCAGTCGGTGGAGATACCAAGACGCCAGCCAAGGCAGTCTGATTTCAGAGCCCATACTCTAAACAACCATGCTGTAGAGTACTAAAGAACTGCTTGATTACGGCATTTAAAGGAAGCAGGGTAGCTTTCCCATTCTGGAGCTTGGTCTTGTAGATAATGGTTAACCGCAGTAAGGCCTATACCTTACCTTCACCTGACTATTGTGGAATTGCCTCAATAGGTGGCAGCCTCCTCCCCCTTTTCCAAAGACAACTTCCTCATTCAGAGCCCTCTGGCCAGCGAAAGGGGAGATAGGTTTAGTTTTTAGTTAAGCCCGGAAGAAGCTTTTCCGGCCACTGACCCACAGAACCGAAGCGCTGACAGAACCAAAGACCAAGTGTGCCTACAGAAAGCTTTCTGGTACCATTATATCGGTTTTCAGCTCTTCCTGGTTCACACATGATGACCCAGCACCCGTTTGGATACTTCATCTAATCATTATTTCCTTTCATTAAGCCCAGAGAGATACTGAGTAAAGAGAGTACGGGAGAGAACAGGAAAAACAAATGAACGGGTTAAGAGCAGGCTAGAAGCCACAAAAGTCCTGCAGGGTTACAGCCTGTACCTCAGACAAAGGTCCCTCAGGCATCTCCTTTCTCATTCCCTGTGGTTTCCTTGCTTTCTTCCCGCTCAAGGTCCGGAAGTTAGTGCCTGACCTTACAGCAGGATCAGAAAGGTGGAGGGCAGCAGAGACAAGCCGCAAGGGGGCTACAGGGAAATCTAAGGCTCGTGGAAGATCCGACTTCCCAGACCCCTTCGCATTAGGGCGGAGCGTGCGCTCGGCGGCCAATTCCCGCGTCCTCACGTCGCCGTATCCCCGCCCTCCGTGCCCCTCCTGCACCACCCTTCCCTGGGGCTGGTGCGGCGGCGGAGACGTCAGCGCCAGGAGACTCCGGGCAGCGGCTGCGCCGTAGGCTGGCCGCGGCCAGGAAGCGCTGCGGGGAGGGGCGGAGCGAACGGGCGGGAGCGAGCACTGGGCCCGCCTCGGCTGCCGCCGCCGCCGCTGCCGGGGAATCATCTAAGCGGCAGCGGGCGGCCTCAGCTTAGCGGCCACAAGCCACTTCTGCGGCTGCCCAGAGAAGCAGAGGTCGCCGGTCCCGTGTTGTCCCTCCTCTCCGCCCCCCAGGAGGGGCGAGAGGGAGCTGCGGCTGATGTCAGGTACGGCCGGCGGAGGCGCCCTCAGGCTGCGGGTCCAAGGTCTCGGTTCCCCTCGCCCTCCCCCATCTCCGGGTTGGTGGGGAAGCGTGAAGGATAGAAGCAAACCTCTGGCGCGGCGGAACAGGTGTCTCGGGGTCAGAGCCGGGCTGGGGGCGTCCCGGCTCCTGAGGAAGGCGCGGGGACTTCCTGCTCCCGGCGCCTCAGCTGTCTGCCACAAGGGCCGGGTGCGTACCCGGTCGCAATTTTGTAGACATGTAGACAGGATCCTTCTGTTCGTCGTGGGTCCTTCCCTTGTGCCCGCTCGCGCCCCTCTTCTGCCCGCGCGCTGCCTGGCGGCCGCTGCGCCAACAACAGCAGCAGCGGCAGCAATGGGACCCGGACTGCACCCTAGCGGGACCACTTAGCGGTCCTGTCCCGCCGGGCCCTCCCCGCCCCTCCTCTCGGGTTGTCCCCGCCCGCCGACCTGTGGGTCCCGCCGGACTCGGCGCCCAGGTGTGGGGCACCTTCGCCGAGGGCCACTCGGCTGCCGCGCCGCCTGAGCGCCCAGCGCTCCTTTTGGAAGTGCCTGGAGGTTGCTTGGGGCTAGCTTGGATCATCAGGTTTGTCTGTAGCTGATTTATTTCTTTAAGTTTCCCTGCCGCCGGCAGAGTGAACCAGATACGTGTGTGTTGGGGCATTCGCTGCGTGGAGGAGGAGGAAGAAAGGCATTTAAAAATTTTTATTAAAAAAATTTTTTTTGCCTCTCTACCCCATCTCCCCCCTCAACAAATTGTGATGGGATTAGTAGGTATTGACAAGTTGTCCATATTGCTTTGAATTTGGGTAAGTTGTACACTCTTAAAAGATGACTGTAATTTAGCTCTGTGGATTTATTCTTTACTGGCCCTTACCATCTCCCCACCCCCCACCATCCCCCATTTAAAACAAACAACAATATCAGCAACAAAAAACCCACACATCCTGGAAAAATTCTCTAGATTTCTACTATATTTCTCTACATCCATTGTAGATATTACTGTATTTACTTTTAAGATAGAAAACTATTGTGCTAACCATGGATTGATTTCATTATGAATTTAAAAGTTATAAATTTAGAACCATAATGAATCAGTGAATAATTAGGCCAACATGTAAGGGACAGAAATACGTTAATTTACTAAAAGTTGGGCATAGAACATACCTCTGCCTAGATGGCAGGAAAAAGTGCTATGCATAATTTCAAGTTGTTTGTTTCTGGTGTGAGTTTGGAAAGTGGGAATCTGAGTTTTTAGTAGGTACTTAGATGACAGCTTTTCACCCTCTTAGTTAAATGTCAAATGAGCTTGATGCACATGATACTCTATGTTCTAAGTATTGTATATAGTAAACTATATTTTCTACCGGCCTTTATATTGATGTACAGTTTAAATGAATATGAAGTTTAAAGTTAGCAGTTAACTCTTCATATGTTAAGTAAAACAATGATTTAGTAAGGAAAGTATGACTCATTTAAATTTTTTCATAGGATAAGACAATTTTTCAGTATTAGTGGAGAATTATTAAATGTCTCTCTTAAATTTGCCTGGAATTTGTATTTTTGTGTATCTTTCTACTTAGGATTAAGCATTTTAGGAATATTGTGTTTCCTATTAAAGTTTTTCTTAATTATGCTTTTTAAGACTATACTGGTCAATGTTTCTGAGTAAATTCAATATCCAGTTATTCTTAGAATTGTATCACAAATTTATTCAGGGTACATCTAATAAGTTCATGTTTACCTAATAGAAATATGAAAATTTATGTCACTGGGCATATGCTATTTATATGTTGATTTGTGCTAAAATTAAAATTACATTATACGGTTTAACTTTATAAGTCATCGTAATTTAAAGTAGAGTCCGTGTATGGTAAAATCATTGATGGGAATTTTTGTGACCGTGCAGCTATAAATAAACCTTAAGTAGAAAATGGAAAGCTTGATGCTGAAATTGAATTCATATAGGCTTAAAAGTTTAAGTTTCCTAATACAACCATTTTTCGTTTAGAAGATTCTTAGGATTTGATTAACGAGTTTGGTGTACAAACTATAGCAAAGCTGAAAGAAAGGCATGACAAAAATGTTTTTACTCCAGGTTCAGTGGGATTAAGTCATTCTTTTAAAAGAAGAAAGGGATGTCTGGGGGGGAGGGGTGGAAGGAGACTTGTTCCATAAAATGAAAAGTTAGCCTTTTATCTTAAAACCTGGTTAGAGAGGAACTCCAATGTGTACTTAAATTATTTTGCAGCTAACACAAATGTCCAAGGAGAAAATATATGCCAAAATCTGTAATGTATGAGAACAGGAAGTGTCCCTTGGAAAGAAAAAATATATATAAAGAAACCGGTGTTTGTGATCTAGGGAAGCACATAAGAAGGTGGAAGAAACAAAAGGAAAGCAAATAAATTAGCACCTGTAGTATGTGCTGCCTTGCTCATTGAAGGGGCATGTTGTGGGCAAAGAGAGGCAAAATTAGGGAGATTCTGGAATGGGAAACCTGTATACTAAAGCACATTTAAACTAGTGGATGTTGGATAATAGGCAGAATTTGAAATTAAATACAGCTTGGCATAGTTATTTGCTTTCTTGATCATTGTATTAGTTTTCTAGGGCTGCGGTAACAAAATACCACAAACTGGGTGATTTAAAACAAGAGATTTATTGTCTCAGTTCTGGAGACAAAGTATCTGTCTGAAATCAAGATATAGGTAGGTCCATGCTCTCTCGAGGTTCAAGGGGAGAATCTGTTCCATCCCTCTTAGCTTCTTGTGTTACTGCCAGTCCTTGGTGTTTTTTGGCTTGCAGCTATCACTCCAGTCTCTGACTGTTATCATGACATAATCCCTGTGTGGCTCTGTCTTCATATGGTGTGATCCCCTTCTTAAAAGGTTACTAGTCGTATTGGATTAAGATCTACCCTAATCACATCATCTTAACTTGATTACATCTGCAAAGACCCTATTTTGAAATAAGGTCACATGCAGAGGTACTAGAATTAGGACTTCAGCCTATCTTTTGGGGAGACACAGTTTAACCTATAACAGTTACGCAGTTTGTATTTTACAGTGTTCAGTAGATGTTTAGCATCATAGGCTGAATCAGAGGCTACAATGGAAACAGGATGGGACCCATACATTTATTTACATATATCAGTATGTCTTAATCCGTTTTCTGTTACCTCTAGCAGAATATCTGAAACTGGCTATTCTGTAAAGAAAAGAAATTTATTCTTTACAGTTATGAAGGCTGAAAAGTCCTGGCTGACGTCAGGAGGCCACATCTGGTGAGGACCTTGCTGGTAGGGACTCTACAGAGTCCTGAGGTAGCACAGGGTACCACATGGTGAGGGGGCCAAGTATGCTAGCCCAGAACTCTTTCTTATAAAGCTACCAGTTTCTTTCCCATGGTAACCCATTCATGAGGGCCAAAGCATTAGGATCCAGTCATCACTTAAAGACTCCAGCTCTCGGTACTGCCACACTGGCAATAAAGTTTCAACATGAGTTTTGATGGAGACAGACATTTAGACCACAGCAAGTGCTTACTGTGTGCCAAGTCCTAGAGATAAAACAATGGATAGACAAAAATCTCTGTCCTCATGTAACTTACATTCTCAAACACACGTTCTAAAAATGTGGTCCCTGGATCTATAGCATCCGCATCACCTAGGAAGTTGTTAGAAATTGACATTTTCAGTCTCCATCACAGAACTGCTTAACTAGCCTTCCAAATTATTCTGATGCAGACTCAGGTTTCAGAACCACTGATCAAGATGGAAAAGAGACAATAAACAAGATGGAAGTTAAATAATATTAGCTATTAATAGGTGCTGTGGGTAAGAATAGGATGGCCAGCGAAGACCCTGAAAAGTAAAGACCTGAAGGAGTTAGAGTGAGCCATATGAGCCATCTAGGTGTGTGTTCTCAGCAGAGAACAGTAAGCGCAAAGACCCTGGCACATTGGAGGAATGGCAAGCAGTCCAGCATTAAAACATAGTGAAGGAAACAGTATTAGGTTCAATCTATAAAATTGTTGCTGTTTGTTCATTTTTGACCTACAAAAGCACCAGATACTAGGGAGAAGAGATCAGAAAGAAAGTGGTGCAGTAGGATGCCGATTGTGTGAAGATTGTTGTAAGGTTTTGAGTTTCTCTGATACTAGGAGGACAGTGGAGGGTTTTGAGCAAATGAGTGATATGATCTGATTTCAGTTTTAAAAGGATCACTGTGGCTACTGGTAAAAATGGGCCAAAGAAGGAAAGGCTAAAGGAAGGGAAGAGATGGTTAGAATGTTGTTACAGTTGTTAGAGGTGGCTCAGACCAGTGTGATAGCAGTGGAGAGGTTAGAAGAGGTACAAGACTAAAAACATACACGGTAAATGTTGTGAAAAGTAAATTTTTTTCATCCCACTCCAGTTACCCCAGTTACCTAGTTGTTCTCCTGAAAGGCAATTAGTGTTAAAAATAGTCTTATCTCTTCTTCCTGAGATCTTTTATGTATATATGAGAAACAGTTTTAACAAGTTAGTGGAGAGGTGGTTACTTGGGCCTGTTTTCTTCCCCAGGAAACATTTAGCAATGTCTAGACATTGTTTGTCAAAACTAGGGGGAACGGTACTGGCTTGCATCTAGTTTAGCGGCCAGGAATGCTGCTAAACATTCTACAGTCAACAGGACAATTTCCACAACAGAGGGTTATCCAGCTCTTGATGTCAGTAGCACCAAGGTTAAGAAACCTTGGTTTCATGGGATTTACAGAGGATGGTAGGAAGCAGGTGTTGTAGTCAGAGAAAACAGTAGGAATAGAGGAGCTGACTGTATTGAGAATCTTTCAGGAACTGTAGATCAGGATTGCTGAAACAGACATAAATTATAAGGCACAGAATAGCAAAAGATGAGGCTGGAAACTTGGACAGGCTCTAGATCATAGCCTTTATATATATCATGTTTAAAAAAAGTTTAGTTTTTGTCTTGTAAGCAGTGGG